AACCCTATCTCCTAACTCAACAATATCAAAGCAACAAAAGGAATGCTATTGATATTGATGGTGATGAAAGTACATCCCCAAACCAAAGACTATTTATCGTTCAAAAAGACTATTTATCGTTCGGCCGCCATTGGGATTAACAAACAATTTGGCTCATCATTTACTATAGAAAATATGGAGAACTGTATGAAAACTTGGCGTGATAGATATTTTGATATGCAAAAATGCTTTAACTTGAGTGGTGTAGGTTGGGATGCTGTGAATAAATAAATCACTATGGATGAAGATTGCTTTGATAGATAGCTTGAGGTAGCAAACATTTAACGATTTTAATTTGAATATGAAGTATCATTTTATTTTTGAATAAATTTAGGGTTAATATATATCCTTAACCATGCAGGAAAAAAGTATTCCTATTTCTAAGCTTAGGGAATACATTAACAACCCTATGAAATATTTTGAAAATCTTGCAATTATCATTAGAAATGATCAAGCCCAAGGAGAGTATGCAATGGATGTGATGGACAAATTTTGTGGTAGTTCGCATTTTAATATTAATGATGATGATGATTATTATTACAATGCGTAGGGAGAACACTTGTAGCTATGTCTTGGTAGATGACCATGGCATTCCACCTCCGAAGGACCCCTCTATTTCCCCAAAACCTATTTCAACTTCTAATGACTTCTAATGAGAAACAATCTAAAAATGATTTGTCAAGGATGCGTAAGGGAAAGGGCAGAAGACTAGTGAGGACATGATCCTCATGCGTGAGATGATAAGTGAGGTAAACAAATTCACATCATCTATGCGAGAGGTTAATATGCATTGGACAGAGAAGTTGGCCAAAGCTATATTTGCACACGATGTTGACTTTAGCTTGGAAGTTCTTGATAAGTTTTATCAAGAATTGTATGGAAAATGAATCACAAGGTAGGCTATTTATGGGGCGGTCATCTATCATGCAAAAGAAGGTGTTGACTGAGTTCATGCAGAGTCAACGGAGTACATAAATTTGGTGGGAGGATGATTTTGAGATACTTTTGAAAATCTAATTGTCTATAACAACGTTAATTTGCTTATTTTTATATGATAATGAGCTTAATGAATGCTCATTCTTTTGGCTATAATTCCTGATTTATGTGGTATATTGTGAAGGTGACACTAATTTGCTTATTTTCTATGCAAATGAGTTTGATGAATGCTCATTCTTTTGGCTACAATTCCTAATTAATGTAGTATACTGTGTTCATGACACTAATTATGTTCAATGTATGAAACAATCTAAAATTGTATCTTCAATAGTATTGTCTTTATATTTATTCACCTAACTCAATATCTTCATCATTGTGAGTTTACAGACTTAATATCTTGATTGGTTAACATTATCTTGATTGGTTGCAATTATCACATTTTGGACTTCAGTTGTGATGAATTTCATATGCAATTTAGATTGGGTACACACCATGCAACATGAGCCCGATAGTGATGAGGTCTTATATGACTAGTCACGACACCAGTTGTTTTGGTCAAAAGTTGGTTCTTTCATTAACAGACTCATCACAACTTTAATCGTAACAATGATCTCAACAAATGAAAATAAAAATTATAACTTACTAAAAATACACACAACAAACATTTACCACCCG